ATCAGCAGCAGCAGAAAAACAGTCAGTGGTATGGTGGATGATGATGTACCGGGCTGCGGACGTAGAGGTCACTCCTGGGCTGGTCGAGGTGGAGGGGATGATGGCTGTAGACAGAAGAGCAGGGATAAACTGGGTAAGGGAGACTGTGCATCGACCTGGGAGGCGGTGGCTGGTGGTGTAGCTTAAATCCAGGGGGGTCCAGAGGAGAGGTCCGAAGAGGAAGAAGACACTAGAGACGGCAGGGCAGGATAATGACTAGGGGGCTAACAAGGACTAGAGAGAACAAAGGCAATCTTAGCATAAACTTGATGAAACAACATAACAACCACTGGCCTAAAGACAGAGAAAGAACTGGCAGGGGAGTGACTGGTGAACAGTGTATAAGTATGGAGGAGACTAATGAGGTGCAGCTGGTGAGTAATCAGGGAAGCGGGGCAGGTGTGTTGAATAGTGTAATCAGTGCAAGGGCTAGGCTAGTGTGAGGAAGAAGAAGAGAGGAAGGTGTAGCTGGGCAAACCTGACAGCAGGAAGAATCATTGGTGCCAGCCTGAACTCCATGGAGGACCTGTACACCTCACGGGTCAATAGCTGGGATTTCTGCAGACCCCTCACACCCTGGACACTAACAGTTTGAACTCCCCTCTTGATGGCGCTACAGGTCACTGTACGCCAAGACAATCAGACACCAGGACAGTTTCTTCTCCCAGGCCATCACTCTGATGAAAACATAACCCATGACTATATAACAAACGACAACCCTCAGTGCAATACCTTGTAAATATACCATTGTACTGTATATATACCATTGTATATATTTGTGTGTGTGTGTGTGGGCATATTGCTCATGCACATTGAGAGCCACTGTACAAGAATTTGATTTCTCATGTGTTCAACATACTGTATCTGGCCAATCAATCTGATTCTGATTTTGTTCTGACTGTGAGAAAAAAAAACTGTACTAAGAAAGTGCTACCTTTGGCTACTAGAGTAAAACTCTATTAAAACTCAAGTGTTGCTTATAATCACTACAAAACATGTTATGCTAAATTACTAAATTGTAGCTAGAATGATAGAATTTCTCAGAATTAGGCTGAGAGTTTTTAACATTTATAGCTAAGGGATAACAGCTCTAATTGTCATCACTTAAAGGAAGGTTTCACTTTTAACAGTAAACTGTAACACTAACAGTCTTGCTATTGACTTTGATATGGGCCAATGAACTGATCTGTGTTAGCCAGGAAGAAATAAAAAAAAAAAAAGATTAGTTCTCAATAGGACACTTTGGGTAACGGATTAGTTCCAATATTGAGCTTTATAGCTTTGGTGTGGTACAAGTTTGCAAACCGAACCACTGATTGTGGCCAGGACTTTAGAAAATGTCCTCCCATGTTCAAACTTGTTTTATTTCCTTGTGGCATGGATAGCCGTCTGTTATTTAGGGACTTAAAATTGCCTATTTAAAACTGTTTTGGAAGGGCTGTGTACCGTGCCACACGTGCTACTCACAGCTTTCTTTTAAACATCAGAAAGAACCAAACTTACTGATTGTAATTAATGTGTTTGTTGATATTCAACACGGTGGTCTTTGGAACAGCCATCTGGAGAAAAAGTCTCTGACATGACTGACTTCAGGCATCATGTAACTGATTTGATTATAACAGACAGACACACAGTCACAAGCATGTCAGGCTACAACATTATCTGATCTAATAATTTTTATTAATTTGAAATGCTATGTGTGAGGTCAACTTGTTTTGCATTAGTGTCCATCCTGGAGGATTCCTGCTCTGTTACTTTTCCTGAGGTTTATTTCATTTTTTCCTTATTAAAGGGTTTTTTGAGGGATTTCTTCTTTATCTGATTTGAGTGTGCAGGACAGAGGGTGTGCATGATGGTAATGGTAATCTGTACAGTAAGGATCAAGAATTTTATTGTCAATTCACTATATGTGCAGGACATACAGAAAAATCAAAATACAGTTTGTCTCACATAATATTGAATGTCCATACCATTTAAGAAACTAAAACAGAATAAAAGTAGAATAAACACAGAATAAATAGAATATGAAAACTGAATTTAAGTAATAAGGATAAGCTAAATGGTACAACCTAATAGGCTATGATGAAACTCAAAGCCATGTGCAAACAGTGACAGTAGTGCAAACAATAACAAGAGGATTGTCAGGTGGTTAGCAACACCAGGGGTGTTGATGATGAGATGCATAATAGCTTATGAAATGTACATGGACAGCAGTGAAAATGACCAACAGCAGCAGATATGATGTAAAAAAAAAGTCAGCAGCAGATTCACATATAATATGACAAAAAGGGGGAATGTATTGAGTTGTGCAAACAGCAGAGGTAGTCTTTAAAATTCACAGTTCCCTCAAAAACTGCTTAGTTACAATATGTTATTTTCAGCTTGGCCAGATCAGCAGCTTAGTCATAAACAACTAACAAATGAAATGTCCTTGTCTCTCCACTGACCCCCATCGTTGCTGATGCTCTCCTCTGTTTATTTTTAACTATCTGTGAGGGGCTGACACTGAATAATGGCTTCAGGCAATAGGCACATGTACACAGGAGTGAGAAATCATTCTGACAGCGGTTATGTAGTCAGAGATTGAATATGAATCAGATTTACTTTATGTCCACATATGCTGTCTTTCCACTGCCACCAGGAACCATGCCATATACTGGGGTTTGTTTGGGGTTAGTTGTCTTAGAATCAGACTCTGGGCTGAAAACATGCTGAAAATCTCAGAAGCAAGTCTCAAAGCAAAGTGGCCCTCGTCTGATATAAAAACATTTTTGGGTTTGTTCACACAACCATGAAAAAAAAGTGATATTAGTTACCTGGATTTCAAAACGTCACTTGGAAAATTTTGATTTGGGACTTGAGACTTAACTTAAACTTAGACCAAAAGACTTGAAACCTAACTTAGTTGAAAAGACTTAAAAACAGCTACTGACACCCTGATATGCAGATCTTCTGGTTAGTTTAGGTTGCAGTTTGTGGGGTCTATGCCTAGTCAGGATTCCTAACTAATGACTCAATAAGTGCAAACACAAAAAAATCAATGCTAATGACTGATAATGATTTGTTCTACAGTACCAGACAAGGAGAGAGTCTCATACAGTTCAGGGATCTTGATAAATAACCTATCTGAATTCTAAGGGGTTAAATATAAGTGTGAATGAACAGCAATACATAATATAAGAAATACACAACAAGTAATTATAATCAAATAGCTACCATCAGTAATTTTAAATGTGTGTGTAACTTTGCCCTTGTCAGTGTTGGCGCCTTTATCTCATGCCAGTATTGCATGTAACATGGTTAAGCTGGATGGATGCATTGTTTGTTTGTTTTTTCTCCTGTAGGACAGTTATTTTGTGTTTGTGTTATTTAAAAAAAAATCTTTTGTACTAAAGGTGGCAATGAACAAAAATAATTTAAGGTTAAGTGAAGAATGCAGTCATGTAAATAGTAAATAAGGTATACTGTAAATGCCAATTTCCAGCCTGAGGTGATACTGATAATATGCAGATGCTTCCAGACCCTAGAATATTGTCTCTCATGTAAACAGTGTGTACTAAAAAAAGAAAAGAAGTTGTCAGGATAACAATAAAATACTGTTTGTGAAGGATTCCCACAACAGCCGTGGGTATCAGTGATAGGTTCCTAGGTATGCACATTCCTAAACTACTGACGTTTCTGACTGGCTGGTGCTTGGTTAGGTGATGCAGTCATCCCAAAAAGCCACAGCTGCATAAAAGTACATTCAGATAATTATTTGTGTATTTCTTCAAGTGAGAGGAGTTAATAAGATCTGGCCAAAATCTCACTTGATTTGTCAGTACTTGTTAAAAAAAAAAACACTAGTGGATTCTTAGAAGTCAAGTGTAACAAGAAAGAAACGTGCTATGTTACTGTATGTTACTATAGTACATATATTAATAATTTACTGTACATCTGTTTTAGGCACCATGGCTGCAGGATGGAGGCTAGTGATCCTGCTGCTGCTGCTATTGCTCCTGTGCTGTTGGCAACTGACCACAGCCAAAGAAGGAAAATCTGCAAAGAAGGGAAAGAAAGGCAAGAAAGTTGTCTGTCCATCGTAAGTAAATATATGTTAGTCTCCAAATACACATTTTCTTAATATGCTGCCATTATAATTGACATAATTCCCACAATTTGTAATGTTTCCTTTCACCAACATGCCATATTATTTCACACTCATTATGTTATATAGGCTGTACCTTGTTCTTTATGCACAACAATGAAAATATATCCAATACTAAGTGTACAAATAAAATATATTTCTACAAGATAATTAGGTGTTTTAATTTGAAATGAAATAAACTATTAACGCCAGCATCAGTAAATAATCCAATAATTCCTTTTATTTATCACATTAATAAACTTTTTTTTTTTACTGCAACAATCAACTATAAACAACAATTTTCTACAAAATCTAAATTAGATAAAATGGTTAAACATTTAGAAACAAGACATTTAAGTGAAGAAGAATACTGCCTAAAGTAAAACAAAAATTCACAAAAGCTAAAACTGCATGCCTCTGTCAATTTTATATAAACCAGGTCTTTTTCAAGAATGAAATAATAGGTTAATGTCTTTTCTGTAGCAGTGGAAGTAAAAGAAGCCTTTATGTGAACAATTCCTACAGGTGTCCCAACCTCTGTTGATTATTTTCAACAAATTCTATGGATACAAAGGCAGTGTTGTTACTACACCCTCTTGAAGCATTATTTGGCAAAAGGAAATGAACAATGGAAGTCAAGCCTTTTCAGGTCCAATAGCAAGATAATGAGCCACAAGCACTGTGTAGAAGAAAAGAACCAGATGTTTGGCTTCAAATGATGGAATGGCAGCAGTGTCTGAGTAGTTTCAAAAATAATTAAATAATGAATCAGTGAATGAATGAATGAATAAATAAATAGATCTGAATGAATAAGACTTGAGTAACTATATGAACCTTTAAAAATGGAGAAGCGCAAAAAAAAACAATACATTATAGTGGCTGACTTTGGTAAAATTGGAAAGATATTCACAGATTTGAAGTTTATGGATCAATAAGTCTTAAGCAAAACATTGCTAAAATACAAACGATCTATTGTGTTTCATAGTAATGTGGACAACAAGCTATAAGCTCTCTTTTATCAAGATGACTGTCCTATACTACCATAGCACACCCCTTTCTGAACCACCCACATATCAGCTAAAGCCTGGCAGGTGCATCAAGGCCTATGCACAGTATTATCTCTTAGCAGTTTGCAGCATCCAGTATTTTGTGAAGAAAAAAAAGTATTTTATTTTATTCGGATGTTACTTATTTTAATCTCTTTCCATTAATATCCTATTTAACAGCCAGTTGTCTCCAGAAGATTTGGCCCAGGTTCCAGCTAACTCCACCTCCAACATTTTGAACCGTCTGATGGTCAGTTATGACCCAAGAATAAGGCCAAACTTTCAAGGTAATGCAACAAACTATACAGGTAAGTGATAACAAAAATAGATACATTGGAACTGTACTTAAGTCATTTGTATGTCACTTTGGACTAACTCGTCAGCTAAACTGCAGTAAACACATACTGGAGGGAAGGATAAGAAGATAATGAGACAAAGGCTGAGAGATGGAGAAAAGATGCAAGCCAGAATTAAAAACAGGCTGAGAACAAAAATGACATGAGGAGGGAGTGTGGTTGATTTGCTCATTGAAGCCTCAAGCTAGAACCAGATGCCCTTTCCTCTCTTTCTCTCCCTCTCTCTCTCTGTCTCTCTCTGTCTGTGTGTGTGTGTGTGTGTGTGTGTGTGTCTGTCCGTCTGTCTCTCTTTCTCTCTCACACACATTCATTTTTAGTCCTTGTGGGGACTTAACATTGACTCATATTCATTTCCTGGAGACCTATCCTAACCTTACACATAGCCGACATCTGGTCCCATGAAAAGCCCGAGTCCACCCAGTATGAGTCGGTAAACAGGTTTAGGTTCCCACAATGTGAGTAATACCAGGCGCACATATGTGCATACAAATACACACAACAATAGACACAATTATCATATGCTGCAGTTGTAACTATGTACTATATGTGTATATTGACAATAAACAAAAATCTTACATTCTTAAATTGCACTGCAGCAACACAGCCCTTTCATTTGCAAAAAGCAAAAATAGTGATGCACCAGTTGCATTTTTCTGATTTTTTTTTTTTTTTTTTTTTTGAAGTCTGACCTGTTGATTCCAGTGTTGGCTGATTCTGATTTTCATTCTAAGAACCATAATTGACAGCATACAGAAGCATTTTTATAACTTTGTGTTCAGTTTGGACTAAGGATGTCACTGGATGGTGGAAGAAACACTCTAAGGAACTCCTGAACCCAATTATGTCTCCTGAGGACGATGCATAGTTTGAAGACCTTACACTTATCTCATATCTTTGGCAGAGGTCTCTGAGGTAGTTGAGAAGCTCCTCAGTGGCAAGGCACTGGGTATTGATGAGATTTGCCCTGACATGCTGAGGGCTGTGGACATGTTGTGGACATTGTGGGCTGTCCTGGCTGACACATCTCTATAATGTTGCATGGAGGTCAGGGATAGGGCCTGTGGACTGGCAGACTGGAGTATTGATTCCAAAGAGGACCAGAGTGTGTTCCAATTACTGGGGTATCACACTGCTCAGCCTCCTCAAAAAAGCTTATGCCAGAGTGCTGTAAAGGAACCGCCAATCAATTGTCAAACCTTAGATTCAGAAGGAGCAATGACTGGGTTCTGTTGGTTGGTCTTGTGGGGGGTAATGCAGGAGTATGGGGTGCAAAGACGATTGTTGCAAACCATCCTGTCCTTATATAACCAAAGTAAGAGTTGTTAGAGGTGTTGGCCTCTCTCAGGGTTGTCCCTTGGCTCTAATAAATACAGTTTTTGATTTTCATGGACAGGGTCTTAAGGTGCAGCCAGGGGTAGGAGTGTGTCTGGTTTGAGGATTTCAGAATCACTTCTCCACTTCTGCAAATGATGTGATTCTGTTAGTTTGATCAGATTGTGACCTCCAACATGCACTGGGTGATTTGCAGCCAAGTGTTAATTAGTTGGAATAAAAATCAGCCCCCCCATTTCTGAAGCCATGGTTCTCTGCTAGAAAATAGTGGATTGCTACTTTTGGATCAGGAATGAGTTGCTGCCATATGCAAAGGAGTTTTGGTATCTCAGGGTCTTGTTCACAGGTGAGTATAAAATGTAGTGTGAGATTGATAGGCAGATTAGTGCAGCATCAGCAGTAATGAGCTGGAACGCAAAGTTTTTGATTTACAAGTCAGTCTGTGCTCCAAGCTTCATCTATGGTCACAAAATTTGGGTAGTGACCAAGAGAATGAGATCACAAATACAAGTAGCTGATTTAAATTTGCTACAACGAGTGGCTGGACTCAGCCTTAGAAATAGGGTGCAGATCTACCCCCTTCTCTCACTCATTTGCTCATAAGTCAATAAAAATAAATGTCTATGGAGTGTCAAGGCTGTGATATAGAGGCTAACTTTCTATGGACATGTGCAGAGGCATGGCCGTACATGTGTACACTTGGAATAAAATTTGTGTGGAATTGATGTATATTGCATTATTTGAAAGGAAAGGAAAGTGCAGCCATAATTCTGTTTTTTCATATTACACATGTAGATGTTTAAAACTGCTTAAGTTTAATTCAGTTGGATTTGTATCAAAGTAACATTATGACCCAAGCGTAAGCCTGCTTATGATCCATAGTCTCATACACAATATTTAGCTTGTCAGGATAAAACAAACGATATTAGCATAACTCGTAACATAAGATGTCTTCATGATTTGAAGTAGTATCTGAAGTACAGCCTCTTCATCCCCAGCTCCTCCGAGTCCAGAAGGTCCAACACAAGCAGAGGCAGCGGCCTGTCAATCCTGAGACTCTCCCTTATAGTGACTGGCTCTGCTGTGGTGCTGTTGCTAATGCTAGTGTTAACATTAGCTATTACAACTACTTCAGCTTCAGCATTAGCAATGTTTTTGTCTATATTTTCAGTAGCTCAGTAGTGGTAGCATTAAGTTTTTATCTTTGAAATATTATCGTACTTGGAAAAAAAAACAAAACACATTAGATACTTAATGCTTGCTTTTGCCATTGCCTACTAATGTTGCTTGCTAACCTAACTGTGGACTATGGAAAGCTTCTCGGGGGAAGTGTTTTCTCAACAAAACATTTCCTAAATAAATTTAAGCTAATTTTTCCACAACTATATTCCTATGTTTAAAGAACTACAAAAGTGTGTTTTTAAACTTTGTTCTTTCTAAATTTCTTATTACTGATAAGACACTACCACTTGCAGCTACCAATAGGGGGGGCTACAGCCCCAGCAGCACCCCCCCTTCCGACCTTTGTGTGTCCAAGGGTCTTAAAGTTTCACACTGCCAGTCTCAAGACCATCATGATGATGCAACACACATTTCCTCTGATGGAGTATCAGCATTATCAAGTGCAAAACCCCCAATAATACCCCCCCATACAGACCCTCTGCTGCACCCCTAAGTCCTGCTCCATCCCACCATGGAAACAGACCAGCCATTGTGTAGCCAGTGTTGTCATGCCATTCAGTGGCTGTTATAAAATCCATAAATAACTGAAAATTAAGGAGGCATCTCCTCAACAATATTCTAACTTAGCTACATTAACTATGTACTGTAAATGTTTGTTTACATGTAAAACAGGGTGCATTCTGCTATTTATCAATTACTAGAATTACAATAATTATTCACCAACAAAATTATAGTCTACTTCATGTCCTGTCAGGATCAGTGTGTGAAGTTGCCAATGATGTTGAGGGTGAACTCAATTATAATGCCAGACGAGTAAAGGTGGAAACTGTCTTTTTAATATGAGCACTGGTAATGAACAAAAACGATACAGAAAACTACTTAAACATGAAACACACTCTTAGGTCAATAAGTTTTTCACACCTGCATTTGGGGATCCTCTGCCATTCCTCCTTGCAGATCCTCTCCAGTTCTGTCAGGTTGGATGGTAAACGTTGGTGGACAGCCATTTTCAGGTCTCTCCAGAGATGCTCAATTGGGTTTAAGTCAAGGCTCTGGCTGGTCCATTCAAGAACAGTCACGGAGTTGTTGTAAAGCCACTCCTTCGTTATTTTAGCTGCGTGCTTAGGGTCATTGTCTTGTTGGAAGGTGAACCTTCGGCCCAGTCTGAGGTCCTGAGCACTCTGGAGAAGGTTTTCGTCCAGGATATCCCTGTACTTGGCCGCATTCACCCTTCCCTCGATTGCAACCAGTCGTCCTGCCCCTGCAGCTGAAAAACACCCCCATAGCATGAGGCTGCCACCACCATGCTTCACTGTTGGGACTGTATTGGACAGGTGATGAGCAGTGCCTGGTTTTCTCCACACATACCGCTTAGAATTAAGGCCAAAAAGTTCTATCTTGGTCTCATCAGACCAGAGAATCTTATTTCTCACCATCTTGGAGTCCTTCAGGTGTTTTTGAGCAAACTCCATGCGGGCTTTCATGTGTCTTGCACGGAGGAGAGGCTTCCGTCGGGCCACTCTGCCATAAAGCCCCGACTGGTGGAGGGCTGCAGTGATAGTTGACTTTCTACAACTTTCTCCCATCTCCCGACTGCATCTCTGGAGCTCAGCCACAGTCATCTTTGGGTTCTTCTGTACCTCTCTCACCAAGGCTCTTCTCCCCCGATAGCTCAGTTTGGCCAGACGGCCAGCTCTAAGAAGGGTTCTGGTCGTCCCAAACGTCTTCCATTTAAGGATTATGGAGGCCACTGTGCTCTTAGGAACCTTAAGTGCAGCAGAAAGTTTTT